TCAGTCCCCATCTCACCCTCCATCCCGCCCATCCAGGCCTTCAAGAATCCCAACTATCCAACACACACTGAGGGCCACCTGGCTAAAAGCAACAAGTCCCACCAGCAAGGGCGTCAGAGGCGGCTCCTCCCTCCTCTATCCCGCAGCCTGGCCGGGCAGGAGCAGAGGAAGGAGAGGGTGGGGCCGGGCAGGAGGCGCAGTGAGGAGGGGCCAGAGAAGTGGGAGCACCTGGAAATGGCTGCTCAGAACCTTGTTGACGACGAGCTTCACGCCCTCCATCTGTCCTGGGAAGACATCTGAAGGTGGGAGAGAGGGAGGGGAGGAGTGAGCACAGAGTGGAGCCCCGACCCCAAGAAGCCGTCCCCGTGCGCGCCACAGCCAGCGCTTTGGAGGAACTGACCTCCTTTCCGGTTCTGCAACAAAATGCTCCATCCATTGCGGCAGCTGGGCCTCCCTGAGGCCGGAAGCCCGGAGCGATCGCCCTTTCCTGCTCCCATCCCTGCGTGCCCGCAGGCAAGACCGCCCGCCCCCTCGGCCCCTTCCGCCCGAGACACGCGAGTCCCAGTAAGCTCCCGGGGTTGGGCAGGGGTTCCTCTCGACGGGGGCTCCGGCGGGGCAAAGCCGCCAGCGGAGCCAGGCCCAACGTGTTCCCCATTTCAGGCCACAGGACGGGGAGGGCCAGGGTGAGCTGGGAAGGATGCTCTTCCTCCCTCTACCCTCCGCGGGCCCCACCCCCCCTCCTCCGGCTCCCCAGCCCCCGAAACTTCCACATGGTCCGACGATAGGCCTGGAACGAGAAGAGCGGGGGCGAGGGCACCGGGCGGGCGCTGCATCGCGGGCACAGTCCCGTCGCACCTTTGGCCCCACAGCCCACCCGTCACCCGTCTCTAACCCCAGCCCCCCACGCCTCCCCCGCTTCCTAGTCTTTCTACTCTCCCTCCCGAGGCCCCGGGGCGAGGTCCGCCACGTAGGGGTCGCCTTACCGTCTCAGACCTCCGTGCTGACCCCTTCCCCCCGGCACACCCCGGTCATCTTGATGGGGGCAGCCATCTTGAGTGATGGCAGGACTGCGGCTTCACGCTGCTGTCTCCGCGTGGTCATGAGCACCATCTTGGAACCGGGCAAAAAGAAGCTTTTAAAGAGCTTAACCTCCCTGACTGGGCCCCGCCCAATCTATTAAAAATAACCGGCCTGGATCTCCCTGGGGCCAATGGGAGAGGAGGAATCAGAAGAGTGGCAGGTGCCGCATCCAGAGAGCTCCAGCCTTGGCGCTGCGGAGGCGGGGCTTGCGGGCAGCTCACGAGACTCGGAGCTGATTGGCTTGGTCCGCGGCTTCCAGGTCGGGGCGTGGGAGCGCGCGTCCGGGACGCTGGAGGGAGCATCGTGGAACCTGGGCCGTCGAAGCTCCCTCCGCCAGACAGCGTGGGGGCCGGCCTTGGAGAAGAGGGCGGAGGGAACGACGGGGAAGACTTATTTTCCACCGGGTTCAGTCGCCCTCGGCGCCCCCCACACCCCCAGGGTCGCCTGGGCTCCTCCTCCCAGGCCTCCGCGACGCTCTGCAAATGCTAGCTGCTCGCCGCACAGCTGCCCTAGGACGCGCTCCTGCCTCCCTCTCGGAATGGGACCGCGTGTGAGCGCCTGGGGTGTGGAGGAGCAGGGGCTGCAGCCTCCGTTCTAGCAGATCCGGCCCCTGAAACAGCTGCCCCTGTAATTAATCCTTCCTTCCCTGATTCCCCAGGCAAAGGTGGAAAATAAAATCCCGGAATATGGGCCCGCCCCCAAGTGCGCTCCACTCCAGGGCCAGGCGGGAGTCAGTGGGGTGCCTTCCAGCACTGGGATCTCCACAGGGAAATGAGGGGCGCCCTCGCTGGGCCTCGCATCTTCACCCCCGCAACTCCCGGGAATGTCCTGCCTGCACTTTGATGGCAAAAAAGTGAAAGATGCAAATGCTGCTGATACCTATTCAGCCGACTTCACCCAAATGCCCTGGGAATTTCCTCCCTCCCTGCTATCTGGGCAGAGGGGTGCTGTGGCCCCTGCGGATTCACTTTTGCTGGCTACCACCTCTACCTAATAAGGTGATCCAATGACCAGAGACCTCCAACTTTTACTCTTTAACCTGAACCTCTTTTCCTACCAGAGGCTGCTTTCTGACTTTGGGGGTAGGGTGTGATCATTGGTCAACATGTTTTCAACCTTGTCTCATCACACATTAACTGAGGAAGGGACAAGCAAATCACCTGCCCTCTGACCCTCATCCCTACCCCTAATTTCAACTCCTTTCTCCTTTCTTCTGTTCCCCAAAATCTCTTGCAAGCTGCAGTGAAGCGGGGTAGAGTTGGGGAGACGAAATCCACTCCTAATGGGACAGAGTTATTGAGGCTGAGGGTTGATGTGTCAGAGCTTCCAGAGAAACAGCACTCTGACTTCCTGCAGCACGGACGTAGGGACTGCTGCCCCAGACCCCAACAGGGCGAACCTCTAGGAGGCCTACAGGACACCCTGCCTCCATGAAGGCCTGCACCAGGCGTCCCCCATGCACTTGTCCCCTCCTCCCCATCTCTCCAACGTGTTTACTCCAACATGGTCCGCCCCAATGTCCCTCCACAGTCCTTGTCACCTGACAGGGAGGTGGGGAAGCAGGCAGATACATGGGCCCTGCCTCCCCAGCCAGGTCAGGCATAGGCGCAAGGATAGAGGCACTGACCAGGTAGGAAGCAGTTGTGGGGAGGGGAGGGACCTGGTTGGAGTGGACACCTAGGAAGGGACCCTGGGAAGGGGCCCCACCCAGCTTCAATGTTGCCCCACCTCCATCTGCTCCCAGGCCACCTCCCCACATCACCACCATGAAGGTGCTTGTAGTGTGGTGCTGCTCCTCACCATCTCTGGCCTTGAAGGTGGGTGTGGAATGGAGGGGGGTCCCAAGAAGGGGTCCTGGCCGCCCATCTGTCAGTTCTGTGCCCAGATTCTGGCAACCGCAAGGCTCAAAATGAAGACCATTTCCCCTCTAAAGCCCAGAGAGCCCATCCAAAGACCTGGAGTGGGAGGCCTGTTTGGGCTGGGCACTGGCAGTGGTGTTGCCAGAGGCCAGGACCAGTGGTTCTCAACCTTCTGGCCCTTTAAGTACAGCTCCTCATGTTGTGACCCAACCATAAAATTATTTTCGTTGCTACTTCATAACTGAATGTTGCTACTGTTATGAATCGTCATGGAAATATCTGATATGCAGGATGGTCTTAGGCAACCCCTGTGAAAGGGTCGTTCCACCACCAAAGGGGTCGCGACCCACAGGTTGAGAACCTCTGGCCAGGACTCAGTGTTGGGGACCAGCTAAAAAGGGGGGTGTTTCTGTGTGCCCAGTAGCCTTGGTCCGAAGGCAGGCAGAGGAGAAGAGCCTGCAAAGCCTGTTCTCAGTACCTGCAAACCCTGACCGACTATGGCAAGGACCTGGTGGAGAAAGTCAAGGGCCCAGAGGTCCAGGCCCAGGCCAAGTAAGTCTCAGCAAGGGGGGTTCAGGGCCCACAGAAGACTGAGCTCGGGTGGAGATTGCGGAAATGGAGCTTTGATGGAGAAAACAACTGCCTCATCCCTCCAGGCCCATGGCCTGTGGCCAGCAGCTGGGTTGTGGGTTTCTGTCTCCGGCTGTGTTCCCTCCCAGCGGAGGGAGGGCTGCCTCTCCTCCTGGAGCTGTGCCGTGCCAGCAGGACCAGCACTGAGCTGGGGGGCTTGGGTCCCACCTCTCACCACCACCAAGGCCTCTGCCAGTACCTTGGTTCCTTACCCTGACCTCTAACCCTCATATATCCAGGCGTCCTTGGAGAACACACGTGAGCAGTGACACCCCTGGTCAGGAAGGCTGGGAATGAGCTGATGAGCTTCCTCAATTACTTCGTGGATCCCAATCACTGTCGGACGCCCAGCCACTCCAAGCTGGCCCCTAGGACACGTCTGGCTGGCCTCCAGCGCCCTCTGTCCCCACCCCTTGCTTCTACAATTAACAGTAAAGGAGTCCATGGTGAGTTTTTTGAGGATGGGAGAGGAAGACAGAAGCCCAGGAGGCAGAGGCGGCTTGGGTGTGAAGGGTGGAGAAAGGGTCCAAGAAACAAATGTGGGAAATGGCAGAGTGGGCACCGTGGAGTCTCCTCCAGGCCCGGGACGGCTCTGAGGAGATGAAGAGCCATTCCATGGCCCTGGCTTGTTTGGCTCAGTGGATAGAGCGTCGGCCTGTGGACTGAAAGGTCCCAGGTTCAATTCCTGGTCAAAGGCACATGCCCAGGTTGCAGGCTCGATCCCCAGTGTGGGGTGTGCAGGAGGCAGCTAATCCATGATTCTCTCTCATCATTAACGTTTCTATCTCTCCCTCTCCCTTCCTCTCTGAAATCAATAAAAATATATTTAAAAAAAAAAATGAACCTTTGCACGGACGAGGGCCTGAGAAAGGCATGAGACTCAGAGACTCATGCTGGATTCCTGGCCTCGGGCAAGCACAGGAAACAAGGCCTCCCTCAGAAGCTCCTCACCATCATCCTATGGCAGTGATGGCGAACCTACGACACGCGTGTCAGAGGTGACACGCAAACTCATTTTTTTGGTTGATTTTTCTTTGTTAAATGGCATTTAAATATATAAAATAAATATCAAAAATATAAGTCTTTGTTTTACTATGGTTGCAAATATCAAAAAATTTCTATATGTGACACGGCACCAGAGTTAAGTTACGGTTTTTCAAATTGCTGGCACGCCGAGCTCAAAGGGTTCGCCATCACTGGCCTATGAATAGGGGAAAGCTTCCAAAAAGCGAACCCAGAGATGTCCCCCAAGGCCCTCCCTCCCCTTCTGAGCCGGGGAACATTGCCTGCTTCCCCTCCCCGCCCCCCAGCCTACAGTAAAAGGTGCAGCTCACTCTCCCCACACTGCTCTCACCTGGACCCCTATCTGGGGACACCTTTCCACACCCTCCCCTCTTATCTGGGTGCTGTCACAGCCCTGGCCCAGCGGCCATTGGAGAGCCTGGAACCAGCAGACACCACAGCCAGTTCAAGGCCTGGCAAGCTCCCGTTGGGTGGACATGTGGGACTAGAGATGCTGGGAGCCATGATGCCTGGATTAAATCCCAGCAGAACAGAAGCGGGCTGGGTGGGTGTGCAAGGCGAGGAAGCAGAGGCATTGTCCGAAACGCACGCCCACCCGACGGCTCAGGCCAGACAGCGCTTCCCTCCCGGGCATTTCCCACGTCTCATCTGAGAGACTGCCTTCAGACGAGGCTAGGCTCCGTTCCTTCCGCGTACCGCTGACCTCAGCCTCAGGGCCGCCCTCCCCCCTTCTTTCCCAGGACCTTGGGGTCTCGTGTGCTGGCGCGTACAGGACAGACCGCAGGCTGTCACTTGCAGGATAGCCTAGTTTAACTTGACAGGTTACACTACAGAGAGTGGGTACTCACGGGGTCAGTGAGCAGAGCGAGTGGTACAGGAGCTGGGAAAGTGCGTTGACAAGTGTGAGTCACTGAGAGGAAAGAACTGCCCGACCTGGGTGGCCTGGGCACAGAGCAGAGACCCATCTGAGAGGGCTGCTGGGTCTGGGGCAGGACGGGCCGCAGCAGATGGGATGCAAAGACTTCCAGCCCTGGCCGGTGTGGCCCTGTTGGTTGGAGCATCATCCAATATGCTGGAAGGTGGAGGGTTTCTTAGGGCACATACCCAGGGGCAACCGATCAATGTTTCTCTTTCTCTCGCTCTCAAAGAAAGAAGGAACCCCGATCAGTGCTCTCAGTTGTTAGAGCACCAGCCCACGCACTAAGGGGTCACGGGCTCAATTCCCAGTCAAGGGCATGTACCTGGGTTGCAGATTCGATCCCTGGAGTCAGGGCACATACAGAAGGCGACAAGTGCTTCTTTCTCTCTCTCTCTCTCTCTCTCTCTCTCTCTCTGAAAACAACATCCTTCCTGGGAATCCGGCCTCCTGCTGGAAACGGCACAGGCCTGAGGGGGTTCCTTCACCGCCCACCTATGCATTCAAGGAGCTCCCCCCCATGAGGACCCAACTTGTCTTGTCCCCTCTGTCTTGCCCACATCCAATCCCTCCCTGTTCCACTAAGGCCCCTCCTGCCCCAGGACCTGCTGAGAACCCACTGTCCCTGCAACCTTCCCTGGGGAGCGGCAGGGCCTTCCTCACATCGCCCCTCCTGACGCTGGGCTGTGGCCAGGCTGCGCCATGCACCCTGAGCTCCCACTCTGACCCCACTGTGATCGGATTGGTCACTCTCTGAGGCTGGGCAGCCAGGCTTTCCCACAGCCCAGAAGTCACTTCTCAGGTTCGAAGGTCTCTGAATGTGCCCAGAATCCCAACACGGAAGACCCTGCTCCTGCTCAAACTAGAGGCCTGGGGCCAGGGGTCTCCTTTGTCCCCTCACAGCAGCATTTGCCCTTCAGTTGAGCAAAACAGCCTGGCGTTGGACACTGAGCTCTGGGAGTCAGGCATGAGCCTCTGCCTTGCTCCCACTGGCTCTGCAGTCCCAGCCAGAGCCTTGCAGAGTCTACGTGTCCGAGGAAGGAAGCAAGGAGTGGAGCCCAGTCTGAGGCAGCTTTATTGGTGCTGCTCCCGTCCCATTGCCTGGTGGGAACTGGGAGGAGGGAGGAGGGGGGGCGGTTGGGGGAGGTCAGGGGAGACTAGAATATGCACATTAATGAGCAGGATCTGAGCACAGGCCTGGGGCAGGGAGGAGGAACCAATGGGTCCATCCATGGGGGCATAGCGTCTTTACAGGGGAGGTCTGCGGCATTAATGGCGGGAGGCATATGTGGTGTCAACCATGGGACTGGGTGGGAACTGGAGCAGAAGGAGGACGTGACCAAGGGCATCTGTCCTAGTTACTCTGTTGGTTTCTGATGCTTCAGCGTCTCATAAGTCTCCTGGTTCCGGGGGCTCAGGCCCTAGAGGTGAAGGTCAGAGGACCGTCAGGAGCTTGAGTCCCTCCACGGCTCCCACTAACCCCCACAGACCCTGCCCTTCCAAGGTCACTCAAAATCCACTCTCCTCTGCTGACGTCCTGGGATTGGGGGGAGGGGGGGGGGAGGGCAACTCACTCACCGTGTAAATGCCATCTGACTTCTGTGGAGGCAAAGGAGCAACTTGTCAGAGACCCACACATCCTCCAGGGCCCCCCAGCATCTTCTTCCGCACCCAGGGACATTATCAGCCGGGGGTGGGACTTGTCACCCGTGACTTGGCTGGATGGCAAGGTGGGTAGGGTGAGGTGGGAAGTGGGTCTCTGAAGCTTATGCAGGTCAACACCTGAAATTCACCTCCCAGGGGCTGCAGACCCCAAAGCTATAGCCCAGAAGGGCTGAGTCTGCAAAATTGTTGATACCCGGGTGTGGGGAGGGGGTTCCATACCTGATAGGCTACAGCTGCCTTTCGCACCTGGATCTGGAGTAGAGGAAGGTCATTAGTAAGAGCAATGTTAGTGGCCCATCCCCCTTCCTTCCAAACGTGGTGTATTCCTCCTCAAAGCCATGCTGCCACCACTGCCCACCCACCTGCCCAGCCTCACCTTGAGTCGGCAGTAGAGCAGGGTTAGGATGATCCCGTATAGAAACAGGATTGCATCCAGGATGTAGCAGATCTGAGGCTCTCCCAGGGCCTCTGAGGGGAGAGAGGGTGCCCATGGGGAGGGCGTCAGGGAAGGGAGGGCCCTGGGAGGGAGGCCGGGCCTGGGGGTGCTCTGCAGGGAAGCTTGCTCTTTCTCTGGATTCCTCTCCTCAGCCTGACTTTCCTGCGAGCACTGGGGCTCCTCAGGCCCGGCTGAGCACTTCATAGCCCTCAAGGGACTCATCTGAGTTCACTGGGCAAAACCCAAAACCTCAGCCCGGAGGGCAGGGCGCGGGGAAGGCAGTGACAATGTCAGTGAAGAAACCACAGCAGTGTCTCTGCTCAGTCCTGTGACCTGTGGCTGAGAGCTGGACAGGAAGGGTGTGAGCTGGGGAAGGGCGGGAAGGCCATTACTGTTGTTGGTCATCTGGCCTCGGCGCACGCTGCTCTGCCCACCAGACACTTGGGCATGTAAAAGCCAGGCAGCTGCTTCCCTGGCTCAGGGATGCCCCGCCCGGCACAGTCCCCCAGGGAAGGCCCCGCTGAGATTCCGTCTCGGGGACGGGGTGTCTCTGTGGGACTCTACCCTGTTCCTCACACCCTGGCCACCGAGAGGAAGTTTGTGCAATTAAAGAAGTAAAATAGGGTCTGAGCTCCTATCTGCCCCATCACCCTGGCCGCTGTCACATGGGCTCCCGGGCTGTGACTTTTATTCTGCGACGAAGTCTTTCACACTCCCTGTTGCACAAATCTCAAGGCTGCCCTGTTTGGGAAACACCGTCGCCATCTCACCGCTGACGAAACCAAGGCCCAAGGAAGCGAAGCAGCTCCCTCAGGGCACAGTCAGTGACACTGGCAGCAAAGCCGAGCCTTCCGCCCTCAGCCGGTGCCCTCCCCAGGCCTCAGCGGCGCTCCCATCGCCCGGCTGCTCTCAGACCCTTCCACCTTCATAGCTGGGTTGGTGCCACCTTCCATCTTTCAATTCCCCCAAATTCCCTTCAGTTTCACTAACCCTGTTCCCCCCAAACTGCAGCCACAACCATCCACCTTGTAAACATTCACACAAGACAGCCCTGAGAGGAACAGGCGAGTGCACACACTGACCGCGGAGCCTTTCCCATTCCTGTCCGGTTCCCGAGGAGGCTCAGGTCTCTAGATGGTCACTGCCCACCCTCCGCTGCGGCTGCCGGGAGGTGCATGTCAGCCATGACACACGGAAGCAGCCATCACATCTGCTTGGCTAGCCTGGCCTCCCTCCCACACACGAGGCCAGGCCTCTGCTCCCACAGGCACTTGAAAGATACCACTTAGGCAGCTGAGGCCAGCTCCTCCTGGACAACACCAAAGGCCCCACAGGAAACCAGCCCATTTTGTGTGTCACACCCTCCCTCCCTGCCAGCTGCAGCTCCGGGGTGCCTGTCCATCCTAAGCTGGGGACAAGGAAGGAGGAAGCTGACTTTTGTGCCGGATGGAACCACACAGCCCCAGTCTGAGTCCCTGTGCCCAGCTGCCCACTCCTGCCCCCCCCAGGGGTCCCTGCCTCGCCTGCCCATATGCCCTTGACTCCCACCTGGGAGTCTAGTTCACGGTCCCTCAGCAAGCCCTCACCTGCTTGTCCAACCAAAAGGAGTGCGAGCAGGAGCGCCGTGGGAATCATCTTGGGCGGGCGGAGGGGCGGCAGGCGGAGCGCAGCTGAGGGCCGGCGCAGCTGTGCTGGTGAGCAGCTCCCTGACCACAGAGTTCCCCCCTTCCTGCCACGCCTCCCCCAGCTCTGGCCCCTTCCCCTTCCTGCGCTAGAAACCAGGCGGCTCCCGGAAGGGCCAACTAAGGGAGCAAAGCGGTCTGGGCCCTTCCGCCTCGGGCGTCCAGTCACTGGGGCTCTGCCTCCACAGGAGGGGACTCCCACCCCCTTCCCACACAGCCCTGCTCAGAGACACACCTGGGAGAGCCGCCCCCTGGCTCCCTGGGACCCATGCAAGCCCTTTCCTCTCCGCCAGGGACGTCCCCAGCCCTGATTCGAGGGGGACTGGTCTGTGTGGGCACCAAGGTCTGGGCAGGGGGGGCGCTGAGGGAAAAGAGGAAATGGGGAATGGAGAAGTGGAAAGGACAAGAGTCAGAGAAGGGGCGGAGAGGAACAGGAAAAACTGCTAAGAACAGAATCTAACAGAGAAGTACACGGTTAACAAACACTCAAGTTTCCCATGAAAATGAAAGACAGATACTAAGACATAAGAGGCTCTGGCATAGGGGCCAGAGGCGGCTAATTTATTCCTTTCTTTTCTAGAACACGCACAGAAAACCTAACAGCTGAGTGTCATGCACACACAGCCCGCTTCCAGCGATGACAGGCTCCGCACAGAAGTCGAGAGGCAGGGAGATGAAGTGCTGCTGCCCTGCTCACCGGTCGACTTCGCCAAACACAATATCCTGGGTGCCTAGGAGGCCGGGGAGGAGAAAGTGCTGTCACCCAGGACCCAGGGACTGAGGATCGGAGTCCACACCCCGAGTCTCTGCGGAACAGGAAGTGTCCAGATTCTGTCCCCACACAGGGGCCCAGTGCCTCTGTCTACACAACAGCCTCGTACCTATGATGGCAACGACATCTGCCAGCATGTGTCCTTTAGACATCTTGTCCAAACCAGCCTGAAAATGGAGGAAACAAGAGCGTTAGCAAGGCTATCAGGGTAGACGAGAGGGAAGTTCACAGAAATCTCAACCAAGGGCAACCACAGTGGAGTCAGAATCATCGGGACTGGTTCTTACCAGGTGGGCAAAACCAGGAGCCTTGATCTTGCATCGATAAGGGCGGCTGCTGCCATCAGACACCAGGTACACCCCAAACTCTCCCTGCCCGAGGAAGAAGGAGACGGCTGCCACCAGCAGAAAGGAGCTGCTCCTCGCCAGCTGACCCTCTCGTCACCCACACCCTCACCAACATGTCTCCAACCGCCCACTCCTCGCCAAGGTTTCCCTCCCCTCCTCTCACCTTAGGAGCCTCAATGGCTGTGTACGTGGCCCCCGGAGGAACCTGGTAGCCCTCAGTGTACAACTTAAAGTGATGGATCAGGGACTCCATAGACGTCTGGAGGGAGAGAGGAGCATCAATACCCCAGACCCACAGCCTCACTCGCCACGCCGCACAGGAAGCAGCCTCTCCCCTCAGAGAAGACAGAGGACGGGACCACAGGGGCTGGAGGCTCATACAGTGAGCTCTCTGCAAACGGACTGAATCCCAGGATCCTCTCGCTTGCCCTGTGGGACCTCCCCTCCTTGCCCAGCTACCTTCATCTCGGCTCGCTTGGGCGGAGACACTTTGGCATCATCAACCTTGATCTCCCCAGGAGGCATCTTGTTCAGACACTGAGAGATGATTCGAAGGGACTGGCGCATCTCCTCCACCCGGCACAGGTACCTGAAGGAGACGAGAGAGCCCTGAGCAGAGGCTCCGACCTGAAAAGCGCTGGGATTCCCTAATTCCTCTCCTAGCCGAGCACCTGGGCGTGGCCTGGCCACCACAGCAAGCCTGCAGTCTTCCGGTTCTGGTACTGGGCCTGTCCCCAAGTCCCCTCCTAATTTTCTCCGACCCTGTCCAGTAGCATTTCCCTCTTTAATCACCATCTTAAACACTCCCTGGAGTACAGAATGGGTGAGAGTCAGACAGACTCAAAAGCAACAGGAAATCTCACTCAGGGTCAGTACACAGGAACGAGATGCAAAGCTGAGGATCTGGTGGGAAGAACCTGGGTCAGGAGTCTAGTCTCAACTCTAACGGAATAATCCTGGGCTCTTCTCTGCCCTTCATGCCTCAGCTTCCTCAGCGGTCAGATGCAGCCCACACTAGTTCTACGACAGAAGGACACCGCCAGGCAAAACAAGGCGCCACAGGGAAGTGCTCTGAAAAGCACTCACACACACAGGGAAGAAAGCAGCTGGACCGTGCGCTAGAGGAGGACCTGGGCCTCACCTGTCATAGCAGTCCCCTCGGGAGCCGATTGGAACATCAAAGTCCACCTGGTCATAGACGTCATAGGGCTGGGTCTTCCGCAGGTCCCACTGGATGCCTGAGCCCCGCAGCATCACCCCGCTGCAGAGGTGAGACAGCAACAAGGGCTGCTCTCCACACACCAAGAAAGGCACCCTCCCTCCCTTAAACCTCCCTCCCCCCGCCCCCGGCTCTGGGCGGGAGACAAACTCAGAGTGTGGCCAGGAAGGTCCAGGAAGCCATACTCTCAGTCCAGAAGCCCCACCCCCAGGGGAGAAGCCTAGTCCTCCACCTAAAGCCGTAGTTCAGCGCGTCTTCGGCAGTTACAACCCCAATGTCAACTGTCCGATTCCGCCAGATCCTGTTGTTGGTCAGCATCTGTTAGCCAAGAAAACACCTTTGAAACGTCCAACACCTCCGTGTCTTTCAGCACCGGGGACCAAAACCCCACAAAACGGGCTTGGGGAGAAAAGAGGAATTTTCCCCATGACTCCCATCTCACCTCCTCCACCTCATCAATCCGAAGAGAGAAGTTTTTAGAAAACTGGTAAATGTCATCCATAAGCCCAAGGGGTAAGTCCTAGGAGCCAGAGAGAGTGACAGTGAGCACAGCAGAGCCTCTGGCCAGGGCCACACGGTGGCTTTTCAGTCAGCCAGCGCTGCCCCCGAGTGGTCGCGAAGGACATGAGCGGGGACGGAACTGGGAGACTGCTCACCTGGTGCACACCTCCTGGGCGGATGTAAGCCGCATGCATCCGAGCCCCAGATACTCGCTCGTAGAACTCAAACATCTGGATGGGACACACAGGGAATTGGAGACAAAGTCCTGGCCCTAAGTCTGACCACATGGTGGTACACTCCCCTGCCCCTCACAACAGAGTCCCTAAAGACTCTAACTGGCCCCTAAAAAAAGAATATAACCCAGGTTAAATAAACCTCCTCCCCTAAGTGTTCCCCCTGCGTCCTCTCTCGTTTCAGTCTCATTTCTCCTTCAGGCCTTCTCCACTTCCTCATCTCCTTCGCCATTCCTATTCTTCCCGCCTTCTCATACCTTCTCCCTTTCTTCAAACATCCAGAAGAAAGGGGTCATGGCCCCAATGTCCAAGGCATGTGTGGTCACAGCCATGATGTGGTTCAACAGCCGTGTGATTTCCCCAAACAGCACTGCAGAGAGGGGAGGACAAGAAAGGGGCCAAGGACCCAGGCTGACAGCCGGCCTTGGGAGAGCGGGATCTGCACACTAAGCCGGGCCCGGGAGAGGCTGGGCGTACCTCGGATCCACTGTGCCCGCGGAGGAGGCCGGATGTTCAGCAACTTCTCCACAGCCAGCGAGTAAGCCTGCTCATTGCACATCATGGACACGTAGTCCAGTCGGTCAAAGTACGGAAGGGCCTGGGAAGAGGGAGGAACCAGGTCCCCTCTCAGGGCCAGGAGCCCTCAAGGGTACCTCATCCCCCCAGTGTGCTGGGCAGGGACCCTGCGTCAGGTTTGCCAGGATCCTCAGTGAAAACACTCTGACCAGGAACAATTTCCAGCTCCCATGTCACATAACTGAACACAGGTCTGGGCAGCACAGACACGAGAGCTAGCATCCCAGAGCACGGCCCAGCAAAGCCTGGCGAGTTCTGAGTACTTCTTGCCTTGGTTTTTAAAATAACATATTAAATCGCAAACCAGTATCATTTAATTTTAACAGTGGCTATTTTAACTACTGGTTCACAAAATTCCCCAAAATTTAACCATCTGCCCTGTGACAGGATGACCGGGGTCCAGCACCCCACTGCCAACCGTCCTCCAGGCCATCGGTCTTAGGGGTCCCCGTGCCGGAGCTCAGACGTAAGAAGGTGGGCTTTGTTTCTGGCGGGAAGGACTCCTTCCCGGAACACCAGGCTCTAAGCCCAGCTGTGAGCTTCCAGGAAGGAGGCGGAGCTGGTGCCCTCGTGGGGACAGCCAGTTCTCGCACTGATGTCACTGCGACTGGGCAGTGCTGCAGGGTGAACTCCATGGACTCTGGGACCAAAAGCCACCACTGCCTGCAATCTCCAGGGAAAGCGCAATCTGGCTGGCTGGTTCTTCATCCAAACCCATCACCCTCTCTCAAGACCTTTCTTCATGACAGTGAAAAAAGGTCAGGTTCCTACCCCAGATCCAGTTCCTTTAACTCTGACCCTCACCACTTGGGTCACACAGTTCTCTTAAAAATGTCAAACTCTGTCACAGACTCCCTCCTGGTCACTCTGACTCACTGAGTATTTCGAAAGCAAGCAAACAGCTGGAAGATACAATATTCAGCTGTTAATCCTGGGGAGCTGATGTCTCTCTCCTCTGTCCCTGCCCACTAGGGACCCTGGCTTTGACATTTTAGTGCAATATAAGAGCAGGGAAACTGAGGCACTACAGGAAGGACACGGGGCAGCCAAAAGACAGCCCAAGAAAAGCTGGGAGTGCGACTCTGGCTACAAAGAATTCCTACTAGGTAAACTGAGTCCAGATGATTCAAGTCCTGCATCCCTGCCACAACCCTCCCTCCTCCCAACCAACACTGTCCTCACAACCTCCACAGGCGACTCCCTCACATTCCTCCACCCCTGGAGCTTTGGGGACAGCCAGCTGGCAATGCCCAGGTCCCGTGCACAGGTCTCTGTGTGCCCACACCTGCAGGTAGGTCTTGTATTCAATGAGCTTCTCGGTGCCTCGGTGCAGCAGCCCGATGTGAGGGTCACACTTCCGCACCATCTCCCCACTCAGCTCCATCACCAGGCGTAACACACCATGGGCTGCTGGGTGCTGGGGCCCAAAGTTCAGGGTCAGGTTTGACACCATTGTGTCCTTCGGAGGGTCCACAGCTGAGAAGTGGGAAATAGTTCAGAGCCAAACGGCAACTCCCTTGAGTGCCCCAAGAAGCAGCAGGGTTAGCCTTTCCCTGCTCTGCACAGTTAGTTTCCTAATCTCCAGGAGGACCACTGGGTGGGAAAAGCTTTCTGAGGAGAGGGACGACAACGACAAACCCACTCTTCCCACATCACCCAGAATACCCTTGTAGTACTAGGAGTAATAATAATAATAATAATAATAATAGCTAACACCTATATAGCCCTTATTATGTGCCCTGCACTACTCTAACCATTTTACTTATTTTAATTAATTCTCACAACAGCCATATGAGGACTAGGTACTTTTGTTACCTCATTTTAATGGCAAAACTGAGGCCAGAAAGGATAAATGACTTCACACACCGGCAGAGCCTGGACTGGACTCAGCCTGTTCAGCTCCAAGATCCACACTCCTTCTTTTTCTTTGTTTGTTTTTTATTTCAAAGTCCACACTCTTAACCACTAGGATGCACTGCTCTCCAAATGCACCTGATGACCCACCAGGAAATGGGAGAGAGACAGAAACATCAATGACAAGAGAGAATCATGGGTCGGCTGCCTCCTGCATGCCCCCTATCGGGGATCGAGCCCACAACCCAGGCATGTGCCCTGACCAGAAACCAATCTGGCAACTTTCGGTGCACAGGACGACACCAACCAACCGAGCCACACCAGCCAGGACTGGACATTTAACTCTGACTACTATCAAATGACTGGACTGACCCTCAAGAAATGTTACAAGTGAGCCCTAGATGGCCTGGCTCAGTGGACAGAGTGTCGGCCTGTGGACTGAAGGGTCCTGGGTTTGATGTCCGGGTTGTGAGCTGGATCCCCAGTCGGGGGCATGCAGGAGGCAGCTGATCAATGGTTCTCATCATTGACGTTTCTATCTCTCTCTCCCTCTGCCTTCCTCTCTGAAATCAATTTAAAAAAATATATATTTTAAAAAAAAGAATGTTACAATTTAATTTAGGAAATAAGTACCTGTGAGAAACTAGTAACACAGGCCAAACTGATGAGTTACCAATTCAGTGGCTCAGCCATGAAGTATTTGAAGGGAGAGAAAAGCACTGTGAAGACCTGAGCTAGTTCTTAAGTTCAAATGACTCGGAGACAGAGAGAAGAGACTGCCCAGGTGTGGAATCCACATGGGTCAATCTTGATGTAAACAGTGTTTCTGGGACTCTTACCTGCCCCGGGCAGGCAGTGCTACTATTTTGTTTAAATATTTTCTACTTTTTTTTATTGATTTCAGAGAGGAAGGAAGAGGGAGAGAGAGATGGAAACATCAATGATGAAAGAGAATCACTAATCGGCTGCCTCCTGCAACCCCCCCACTGGGAATCGAGCCCACAACCTGGGCATGTGCCCTTGACCGGAATCGAGCCTGGGACCTTTCAGATCACAGGCCGACGCTCTATCCACTGAGCCAAACGGGGTCGGGCAGTGCTACTATTAATAACAGCACTATGGGAGATTTGCCATGTGCCAATCACTGCACTAAGTGGCTTCTGTTTTTATTACCTCATTTACTCCTAACAGTAGTGCTGTGAAGTAGGTATTTTATTCACTGGTAAATAGAGAATTGAGATTTAATACCAGAGCCCAACTTTTAAAGCAAAATTCTTCACTGTGGGCTTTGTGGAGTCAGACAGATCTGAGCACAATTCCACCTGTGTGTCCTTGGTCAAGTTTTAATCTCCCTGCACTATAATGTCCTCGAAGTTGGGATAATACTAGTATCACTCTCAGAGGATTGTTGTCTGGACTACGTGAGATAATGCATACAAAACACATAGGATATGTAAGCACCCAGCTATTTTTACTGTGAGATTTCTGAAAAGTAACTGGAGCCCTAGCTGGTTTGGCTCAGTAGATAGAGCATCAGCCTGTGGACTGAAGGGTCCGAGGATCGATTCTGGTCAAGGGCATATGCCTGAGTTGTGGGCTCGAGCCAGTATGGGGAATACACAGTGGGGGGCATGCAGGAGGCAGCTGATCAATGCTTCTCTCTCATCATTGATGTTTCTATCTTTCTTTCCCTTTCCCTTCCTCTCTGAAATCAATAAAATATATTAAAAAAAAGAAAAGAAAAGTAACTGTGCCTTTAAAGGTTTTAGAGCATGACAATGATTGACATGGTAAACGGATCTTTGGGGACAATGAAGGCCATGACACTGCATTAGATAGCAGGTCAGGGCAGGAGGCCTGTGAAGAGACTCCTGAAACAACCAAGGTCTGACACAAAATACATCTGGACACAAAGGGAGAGGTGCCCTAATGTACATGAGGAAAGAGCTGCAGGGCTTGGTGACTTACTGGGCACAGACGGAAGGCAAGAGAAAACTGAGCCAAGGTGACTAAAAAGTGTCAATTCTGAGGTTAGGAGAAAGCAGTGCCACTGTACCAAATCAAAAAGTCAAAGTGGAAAGACTGGTTTTCAGGGAGAAAAAAAATGTTTGTGTTCAGGAAGGTTTCCTCTGTGTGACTGGGAAAGCCACCTCGCCCAGCCAGGCAGATGGAAACATACTGTCTACTGAACCTCTGGGAAAAGTTGAAGCTAAAGATATAAATTTGGTGGAGTCCGGCCACACGGCTCAGTGGTTGAGCGTCGACCCATGGACCAGGAGGTCCCGGTTCAATTCCCGGTCAGGGCACCTGCCCAGGTTGCGGGCTCCATCCCCAGTGTGGGGCGTGCAGGAGGCAGCCTATCCATGATTGTCTCTCATCATCGATGTTCCTCTCTCTCCCTCTCCCTTCCTCTCTGAAATCAATTAATATATATGTATATATAGAAATTTAATGTCATCTTTAAAAAAATCCTTGGTAGGGACCTCTTTCCTTCTCCTGGAATGTTGTTCTGCTCCGTCGCTAGGTGACAAGCACCTCGGACGGTCACTGTTCCTGTGTTTGGTGAGCTGCACGGCCTGCGAAGACCGAGCTCGGCGGCACGAGTCAGGTGGGCAGGGCGCTGGCACTCACCATTCCAGGGTGGAGGCTTCCAGTGGGCTGTCTCCTTGGTGGGGTACATGACCGCTCCCCCAAACTGCTCGGCCCACTCCACATCTGGCTGCCACTGCCGGGCACCTCTAGGGAGTTCAAGGCACAGGCTGAGCAGTGCTGGTTCCTGCTCCCACCCCGCTCGGGGGGCAGGCCGGGAGGAGGCCTGGGTCCTTCCATGCCGAGCGCCGGGCACGGGCCCCGCAGCCCTGCAGAACCAGCT